GGGAAGGGGGAACAGGATAGGCTCAATGTCCGTGCACAGTCCTGTTCATTCAGGGATGAGTCGATGAACAGAGGGGAGAGGCAGCAGAACGTCCGACAGCAGCAAGAAGCACTTTGACGTGCCCTGCACCTGTGTGGCAACCTGAAATTTTTTTTGATGGCTTTATGGCTACAAAAGAGCTGCTGCTGTGTTGAGAGGCCACCTCCGCTGTTGAACATATGCAAGTGTCTTTGTAAACTTCAAATAAACTTTGAGGCGGGCATGTGGTACTGCTGTGGAGGAAAATACAGCACAGGGGTGCAGGGGAGCATATCTGGCCAGAGACCCTGGAGCTCTAACACCAAGGAATCGCCGCCACCAGCCGACCGCTGCTGCTTTGGGTTTTGACTGTCGGGAGGTGATCAAAACTCGTGTTACCTGTCCTCCACTGCGAGTGGCACAGTCGGGAGCAGACGAGCCGAAAGGTCCCGCCTTGGTGGTGTGCCTGCGTGCCTGGTGGCAACGCGGCAGTGACCCCTGGCAGAAAAGAGCGTGACGTGAGGAGAAAAACGTCGTTAATCGGAGCTCGGAAAGCCGGTGGGGAGCTGAGCTTTTCTGATCGCGGCTTTGATCCTGTTTCAGTCCCCCAAAAGAGAAGGCTTGCGGCAGCAGACGCGAGGATCCCCGTACATTCAGACCGGGTGCCGCAGCCTGGCCGCAGGCACGGGGCGGAGCAGCGGGCGGTGGGTACTCGGGGGGCCCCGCCGGGCCGCGGGGGGCGCGCGCGCTCCGCCGCTCCGGAAGGAAAGAGGAGGCGGCGGGTGCGCTTGCGGGGCGGCGGGGCTGCGGCGGGGCCACGTGCGCTCGGTGCCGCGAGCGAGGCGGCGCCGCAGCCCGCCCGCTATGCCCGCCGCGCCGCCGTGAGGCCCGCGCGCCGCGCCATGGGGCCGGACCTAGGCTGGGCCGCGCTGGTGGTGCTCTTCGCCGCCTCTCTGCTCACCGTGGCGGCCTGGCTGCTGCAGTACTGGCGGTCCGCGGCCCTGCGAGCGCCACGGCGGCGCGCGGCGGCTGCGGAGGAGGCCGGAGCCCGGGCGCTGCTCGCGGCACTTCTCGCACTCAGGTCCCTACGGGAGCAGTGGCAGCGAGCTTGGGTGCGAGCTCTGAACAGCCAGGCACGCCGTCACGGGGTACGGCGGGTTTCGAGCGGGGGAGCACGGGGAAAGGCAGCGAGGTGACGCGGGCCCTCCCGCCTGCTCTTTGTTGCCGGGACAGATCTTCCTCAGCGGGCGCTCCGGCCGGAAGAGCCGTGGGGCACCGGGAGCCTTGCGGATGGCTCAGTTCGACTTGCGCGGGAGTGCGCCGTGGTGCGCGAGCGCGGAAAGGGCAGACTGGGTTATCGCGCTTCATTTAACGCGGGTTGGGGCAGTGCTGTAGTCACTCTGGGATTTCCACAGGAATCTCTTCGAAAGTATCTGACGTTTATTTTCTTTAATCTCTCAGTATTGCCGTTGTAATATCTGTCGTTTTAAAGTTCACGCAGGAGAATATGCTTTCGTGATTCCGTATGGAAATAATTGAAGTGTAGCTTGTGGTGCCTGCAAGGCAGGTACTTAACGTGCGCAGAAGCTGTGGTCCAAAGCACTCCAAAGTCTATTGCAATCACCTTTTTCCTGACGTGTGTGTGGGAAAGGGGTTCCCTTTCCGTTAAGTTGTATAGGAAAATCAAGAGCTAAAAAAGGTTAGTGTGAAGCTAACATGTTTTGAGCCTCGGGTTTAAGATAGCACAGGGCACACTGACTCCTTCATGAGGATCTCTTGGTCTCTCTCCCCAGCAGAACTCCTAAACTAAGCTGGAATATCAGGCTCCAGGAATGACAAGCATGTGGGCTGAGGGGTGCAGGGGGATGCCTAGACGGTATGTGTAAGTGTAAAAAGGAAAAGCAAAAATCATCAGGCATCAGGAGAGGTGCTCTGTGTCTGTGTTAGAAGGAGGACATGCAACTGGACTAGTTTTTGTGGGCAAGCAGTACTTCAGGTTGTAGTATTTATGCCTGTCAGATTAGTGTCCTAGAGGCTTTTCTGCCCCTCATCTGGGTCTGTGTAGCACAGAGGTGGCAGTGCAGTCTCATTTGCTTGAGAAGACTGTGGCTTCCTGAACTTCTGTAATCTCTTTTTGATTGTTCTGGCCCTAAAATGCAATAACTTTGGCAAATCGTCATGTCCTAGTGCCCAGATTTCCTGCTTTCTCTGTCTCTTTGTCTCTGGTGAGCAGAGGGAATCCTGGAGGGCTAAATTTTGTGGAGGGATGCTCTCAAAGTCTTTATCTTGGTCTTATATTTGTAGAGAAGTGTTATCTGTACAGAACTGGTCTTGAAATAATGGGAGATCCTCAAATGATGAGGGATGCCTCCGCAGTAGAGATTATAATCTTAAGAAACCAGAAGAGGGTGGAAAAAAAAGGAACGAGTTTAGCACAGGAACTGAYGTACCAAATGATGATGATGTGGATTTTGTGGATTTGGGTGACTGCTATCTAGAACAATTTTCCATCCTCATTTGGGCTTACCTGTCTGAAATTAATATAGAATTTGTCAATTCTAGCCTTAACCGGAGACCTTGTTTCCTTTCTCTGTATGACAAGCCCAGGTGGGTAGAATTGTGGTGTGCAATGGTTCTGGGTGCTAGCTGTATTTGTGGATACAGATTGGAGTGTCTCTGGGTCCTCACGTCATTCAATCTCTTTGAAACTGTCTGGGCTACTCTGACTGCTGGGAGCTAACAGAGTTTTCTCTTTGTAGAGTTCAGTGCAGATCACATTTGAAGAGGGTCCTCAGTTACCGCAAGCTGCAAATATAAGTTGTGTGACATGCAAGGGACAGTCGGACCACAGCATGGTAAGGCTTTGCTGTTCTGAATCGTACAGTGCGGGCTTTCTCTATTCATGGTGTGTTCTATGGAGMCTGCTGAGGCCTTTGTGATGCAGCTGGTGGAACCAGGAGAGTTTTGTGTGAGGTCTGCTGAGTTGGGAGGCCTGTCTCCTGTTTGGAGGCTCTGGAGCTGCACATCGATGAGCTCTGTGAAGGAGGATGTGTTGGTTGAGCCGGGGTATATGAATGCTGAACCCAAACATCAGGGTCCTATAGTCCTGCAGTGGAGAGCAGAAGAGAGCTCCTGTCACCTGTGTGTCTTTACTGCATCATTTACAGGGTCTGAAGCGGCAGGTTTGCAGCGTGGAACTTTGGGAGAGTCACACGGCTGCCTATGGCCAGGATATAAACTCGGCTTTTCTCTCTAGGTGCTGTGCTGCCATCTGTCAGCTGAAGCTGTGAAATTCCCTGTCTCTGTTACTCAGCAGTCTCCAGTTGCTGTTTCAGTGGACACATATCATGTCACTTTGGCTGTGCTGCAGGCTCAGGTAAGGGTTATTAGAAGTTAGATATTGATCTTACTCTTTCATCTAGTCCCACACTGATGGAGGAAGGAGGACCAGAGTGCAAATAAAGGGCTGGAAGAAACAGTGTGCAGTCACTGACATTTGACATGGTCCAAATATTCCCCATCTGCATGCCGTGTCTTGTTTTCTGAGTCTTCGTCTGTAGATTTTGGTTCTGAAACGTAGCTGTTAGAAAATCCAGAGTTTTGAGACATGGCGTCATTGTGTATTGTTCTTAAATGGGTATTTAAGCAGCAAGAAGTCCAGAGAATTCAATTCCCCTGATGGCATAAAGGAAAGGGAAAGGTATGTCCTGTGTAAATGTAAAAGTATGGTGTCCTGGTAGTGGGTGTGAAAAAGAAATCCATTATGAGGATTAGGTTGCGTGTCAGTTCCCCTTATTACATTCACAAGAGCATGACAGAGCTTTTTGTGTATGTTGAATATTGGAGATGCTTTTTCTAGGAAAGAAACTCTGAAATCACAATAGGTGGTAACTCCATAGTTGCTTCCTGTCTGGAATGTGGTTTTGTTTCCATTGTGATGAAGGATGTGACCCTGGAGATGGTATCTTGCTTGGAGGCGGTGTGCTCATATGTGCACCAAAAAAAAAAACCAAAAAAAAAAAGACTGCAAAATCAGAAGTAACTCAGTGGTAGCAGAAGCCAATCCCATTCTGTTGGTGGTATTGCAGTTTGAATGTTGTTCTGGAATGCTTTTGCTCTCAGAAGCTTTATTGTAATTTTCACCCTTCTTTTATCAGGTCATGCATTTAGTTTTTAATTTGTACTTCTATTCTGTGGATGTTTAAACAGCTGCTCTCTCTATTTAGGATTTAGTGTGCCTGCTGCCAGTCCAGTTATGGGCAGCAACTGCAGTTGCTTTTCATCTCTTTCTTATGTCTCATCCAATTGCTTTTCTACTCACTGACATTTTCTAGGTCTCCTTGTCTGCACCTGCTGAAATTTTGGGTCAATTGTTTGTGTAAGAAATTGTGGATGGTATTCTAATTGAGGTCTTGCTGCTRCTTCTTTATGAAATGCTGCTTAGGTTACCACATGCCTGCATGTGTTTTGGAATATTTCAAGTTCTGTGTTTCCAATTGTACCCTGTCTATTCTGCACACCGCATGCTAGTTACCTACCTGGTTACCGTGTCTCACATCCGTTGCTTTTGTCCGATGACCTTCTGTGTTGTCGGTGAATGTTAGCGTGGCAATTGAGAGCTATGTTGAATTTTGTCACCCAGTTACTAGAGCTCTCAGTTCAGGGTGTCTTCCTGTGTGGTTCTATCTCCATCTGTCAAAATGATGCTTTTATGGGTACATGGGTGTGAAATTTTTCAACTGCAGCTAAACTACAAGGTGATGTACAGTCTAGTTTGTTGTTGCAGACCTGGATGAGTCTTCGACCTGAAGATGACCTAGAGATGTATTGATAACTTATAAATGGTTGTGCTTACATTTGGCAATAGTTAATTGGTGTAGCTCGGTAGATATCATGTGTTGTCGCCCAATTGGGCACTTTCGGATTGTTCTACAGGCTTTTTCTTCAGTAAGAGAAATGATGGATCGTTTTTCCCTCTGATGGTGTCTGGGCGTCCAACAGCAGTGAGGAGGCCAGATGTCACTATGCAGTGATGATGCTTCTGCGGCTGCTTCCTCCTGTAGGCCTGAGAGCACTTGGGTTCTTATGTTCTGTTTTTCACCGTTGCAGTAGTGTGAGGGCCTTTCACTCGCAGAGTTTGTAATCACCTAATGTAAACAGAAACTGTTCCTGACCAAGGATATTTGTTCTGGGCCAGTTGGAGATCTGCTTGGAGGAGGTACAGAATGAGGGCCTCCTAGTGTCGTGGACATTCAAGGACAAACCAGACCTGGACCTTTTGGTTCTTCCACGACTTGAGCTTCCTGAGGTGAGTGGCTAGCAGTGGGAAGCTGACCTGGAGTGGAGGAAGGGAGGAAGGAGTAGAAACAACGAGAAGGCAGGCTGCTGTGGAGAAAGCTTGGCAACTTGTTGTCATGGCCCTATAGGGCAGTAGAGGGGATTCTTTCATCCTGGAATCAATACTAGCTTAATCATGTCAAAACAATATCCTTAAGAGGCCTGACGTGGTACCAGTATCTATTAGGTACTGGAATCTATTAGTTTCTGTCTGTGTAGGTTCCTCCTGCTGTTATCAGGTGTAGAGCTGCAAAACAAGCTGGGTTGCCACTTTTTCTTTGTGTGAGGTGGTGTCTGTTGTTGTTGTGTTGGTTTGTTTTTGTTTGTTATGTTTGGTTGGGTTTTAAAAGAGATTGATTAACATTGAAGAGATTAAAGTGGGGAACCCACAGGTTAGGAGTTTTAATGAACAGAAGTGGGTGTGCTTGTACCTCCACGGTCCAGATAGCTTGGTTGATTTGTTGTTTTATTGACACCCTTGTTACTTTATCCCGAGTAGATGTAGGAATTTGGCTGTTTTCCCAGAAGTGTGATAGCACCATGTCCTGAGGTGGTGAGCATGTGACAAAGTATTAAAGCCGTATTGTAAAAATTTGGGTAGATGGACTAGAGGGGCTTAGTTTGCCTCATTTAGAGAGCTTGCATTTGTCTGCGGCTGCCAGACACAAGCTTTAAGCACTGAGGACAGCAAGTATGGGACATGGGAAGAGTATCTGGTAGTTTATTACTGGGAGAATGACTGTGTAGCATGTCAGAGACTTAAGAGGAACTGTAAATGTGTCCTTTTCTTTATGACTCTCCTGCATTTCCTCTTGGTTTGTGGAGAGAAGGATGAAGGGATAGTGGATCTGTCCACTATAAAGGATCTGATCGAGGATACCATTGTCAGCACTCGGCCAGCCATGACGGTGAATCTGATGGCCTGCACCGGTGGAGCCAGTGTGGTAAGGCGCTCTCCTTGTGTCACTCTTGTGCTTCAAACACAGGCCCCAAAACACTTCTGAGAGCTGTGGCTCGTGCAGGAATTCAAGGGTAGAGTCTCACTTCCGGGAGACACCTGAAACCTGACGTGCAGTGTGATAGGAGTTTGGGTACTGCGACATGGCACATAGGGATCATTAGAAGTTGCTCCCAAGGGCAGCTCCTTCTACCTTTTTTCTTGAGTGCTCATTGTTGGTCCTGTACTTGTGGAGCTGAACTGCCTGAGGTACATCTCTGGCAGTCTCTTTTGCTTTGAATACCAAGGCTCTGTCCAGGGCAGCCTTTGCAGGTGAGGAATGGTCCATGATGTGCCATCATCAGTTGTCCATCTGGTAGCCAGCAAACTTGTTCTTGCCTGTCTCCTTTTTTGTCTGCCTTAAACTTCCCATCTGAAGTAACAGGAGGGCCCACTGGAGGTCAATAGCTTGGGAAACCTGCAGCCGCTCTTGATGGCTTTGCGGGTATTCCCCTGTGTTGGTGTGGAGCTACTTAGCAGATACAGGGACAACGTGTCTTACTGCTGTCTGCTGGCAAGTGAACGGTAAAGGTATCGGTTTCGCTCTCATCAYTCCTCAGGTACCCAGCAATAAGTTGACTCAAGAGTCCCCGTCCGGAGTAGCAGCAGTCCCTCTGGGTTCTAAGCTGTTGCTTCGGAATCTTCGAGTGGTGAACTTGGGCTGCCAGGGGAAGGGAGGTAAGCGTGAAAACAATGCTGATCCACAGAGGCAAGTGTGCAGGTGGCAAGATTGGAGCGAGTGGATGTTTTGAGTGGGTTTGAATGGAAAAGAGGGGTGAGTGCCTGCCAAACCATTGCCTCTTGCTGACGAGTGCGCATGTGCCCTCTGTCCCTCTGTTGCAGGAGTTGGGGAGATACGCTGCGTGGCAGAGTTAGACAGCCCCCCGCAGCAGAAGTGGACGAGGCCAATGACAGGTGGCAGTGTTCGTGCTGCAGGAGAGATGGAGTGGAATGACGAGTTCTTTCTGTAAGTGTCAGCTCTCTTTCCCTGTCGCTGGCACAGTGTAGGTGCACTGGCATTGTCTCTGGGTATCATTACCGTGCTGCAGTGCGAAGGTGATGTCTGCAACACGGGTCAGTGTCCATTCATGCTGCCCCCGTGCTGGGCTGCTGATTCTGGCAATTGGCCCCAGTTTGCCTATGTATTTTGCGCCTTCCTGGACTCTCTGTATTTGAACCAGGTGGGCAGAAATGCTTACTGAAGGAGTGGCAGTGTCTCGGTTTGAAAGACAGGTGTTTGCCAATGAAGGCAGGGACCCCCCTTGGAGTGGTGGATATGACACCCCTTCCCTCTGAATTATTATAGCTTTGAAAAAAAATCACGGGCTTTCAGGCAAGAACATGGGTAAAAGGGAATAACAGTTTTTACTAATATGCATAACAAGGTGAAACAAGTAACAATAACAATAGCAACAACCAGCCCAGCCCCAAACCCAGTGACTGCCTTACAGAGACACAGCCTCCCCTTTGGTGCAGTTACAGTCCCAGTTTGCAGGACGGCAAAGAGASGAGCAGAAATCCCGCGGCTGCGAGACGGGACGGAGCAGAGCTCACCCCTGAAGCTGGAATCCCCGGCAAGGCACAGGAGAGAAAACCACGGTGCAGCAAGCAGGAACCCAATGAGCAGGGGTGCTGGTTTCTGCAGAAAAAAAAAAAAAAAAGGGCAGGCCAGCGAGCAGACTCCTTCTCTCATCGAAGCAGCGAAAAACAACTGCAAATCCCCCCCCCACCACACAAAAACACTCTCTCCGAGCGCTTGACAACACCGTTAAGGTGGGGCATAGGTATCATTATGTTTGTTAATCACTCAGCCATCAAAAGGATGATCTGGCAATTGGTGTATGGCAGCAACAAATGGGAAAGAAAAAATTCCCAAAGAAAGGGAACAAAAGGAGAAGAATTTTAACCCACAACAGGCAGGTGCAGTAGGGCTGTAGCATAAACAGCCTTCCAGAGCAATTGTCCTCTCAGCTTCCCCTGGCAGCCTACACAGCTCTGCAGGGTACACGAACCACAGTTCTCATTTGTGGAGTTTCGTGCTCTAGTCGTGTTCTCCACAGCAGTGCATGCTACTGCAGCCTTGGAGAGGGTGATGAGGTGTGTGAGATTTGAGGGAGAGAAGATACAGAATGAGGTTGTTGGCTCCATGGCTACTTAGAAAACAGGTCCTAACACCTGTCTATCTTCGGTTTCAACAGGGAGTTGGGACCTAAAAGCAAAGAACTGAAACTACAGGTGCTGGGGAGCAGCGACGGAGGGACAAGTGAGTACAGGCAGCCATAAGATGGATTGTGAAATGGGGACACAAAAATGGCTAAGGGGCTTACTGTGCTTTAAGCTCCGGGTGGTTCTGTGTCGCTACAACATGTGATGAGTTCTGCAAAGGATTTTTCATATTTAGCTTTATGTGAGCTTCTGACTGTGTGAGGTAATTCTGGGTTCTGTTCTTACCAAAATGGTCTGGGTCTGATCTTCAATCAGGAGGTTCCTGTGGCCTGCCCGTGTCCATTCTGAAGCAGGAAGAGGCATGCAGGATTTTCCCTCCTGTATTAGCAGAGCTTTGCATAAAGTTCTTAACTGTTCATTTGTACTCAGTCAGGGACTAATTGCAGCATCTATTTTTGATGGAGGCCCCACAATGGCAGACCTGGCAGTTGAGTGCTGTATTGTTTAAGAGGGTAGGAGAAGCAACGCCTGCCCCTTCTTCCTCATGAACCTGGGACTCTGTGGAGTTGTGGGGATCTGCTTTGTTGGCCCTTAGGGCTGCTTCCCAAAAACAGGTTGCCTTGGAGATGTCAGGGATGCTGAGGTCATGTGAAATGTTTCATTTTTCCCGTTACTTCTTGCAGACGTGCTGCTGGCATATGCCACGCTTTTGATTGATTCTTTGGGCAGACAACCATCTGGGAGACAGGTCTGCTCACTGGCCCCAGGAGCTGGACAGTCACTGACAGCTGAAGCTACCATTACATTGGAGGTGAGGTCATGACCCCACAAGATCTGCATGCTCTGGAAACGGTCGTGATGTGAGCCTCTAGCTGCAGACACTCATGTTTGGGCCTGAGCTCAGCACAGAGGACTAGCAGACCCTTATGCCATAGAGGGGTGGGGGTCCCCTGACCCTCAGTCCCTGAGCCTCCCGCTGTTGAACTGATAGTGTATTGGGGGTGGCCCCTTGGTTCCCGGACTCCTACCTTTTGTTGCCTAAATATGCCTGCCTTTTCATCTGGGAAGAAGAGCGCCCCCCTCAGCAGTGCTTTACTCTTTATAGCTGCTGTTCCAGGAATCTCCTGCATCTTTGAATACTCAGCACGCCACATCTCTGCGAACCAGCATCACCCCCACTAAGAAGGTGGAGATGGACCGGACCATCATGCCCGATGGCACTATCGTGACTACTGTCACTACAATTCAGTCCCGGCCCAAGGCAGACTGCAAACTGGGTGAGGCTGGGTGGGGCTGTGCAGATGTATTGTACAGCTGGCTGCTATGGCAGCACAGACCTAGCTGTGATATTCCGATGGCTGCTCAGGAAGACCATAGCAAAACTGTTCAGCCATCACATCTGGTTATTGCAGGCTCACACTTTACATATTGCTTCTGGCAGGTGGGGATTGGAGCATGGGCATCCTTGCTGTTCCCTTAGCGTCTTTGTGGCTGGCTGGAAACTCTTGTGTAGCCTTAGGGGAGAGAATTGAGGCAGCTCTGTTTCTGGGGGGAGGTGGGGGAGGGATGAACCTGTCTCACACCCTTTCGGTGGTGGGAGGTCTAATGCGGTTGCTGCCTCTTAACCTCTGCGTGGTGTCAGGCTAAGTGTTTAGCCATGCTTTCTCTAGTTTCTTCACTGCTGAAGAAGTTACACTGAACATACTGAATGTGGAACCAAAAGCATGTTGACCCTACTTAAGTACTGTGTCCAGCCTTGCAGCCCCATACGAAAGACATGGATCTGTTGGAGTGAATGCATAGGAGGGCTGCCAAGTTGGTCACCTACCTGCAACACCTCCCTGTGAAGAAAAAGTCAGAGAGAGTTGGAGCTGTTTAGGCTGGAGAAGAGAAGGCTCTGGGGGAGACATTATAGCAAGCAGCCTTCCAGTACCTAAAAGGAGGCCTACAGGAAGCCTGAAGAGGGATTTTTTACAAGGGCATGCAGTGACAAGACAAGGGGGAATGGCTTTGAGCTGAAGCAGGGTAGATTTATATTAGCTATTAGGAAGAAATGTTTGCCTCTGAGGATGGTGAGGCACTGGCACAGGTTGCCCTGGGAAGCTGTAGCTGCCCCATCCCTAGAAGTGTTCAAGAGCAGGCTGAATGGGGCCCTGAGCAACCTGGTCTAGTGACAGGCTGGTTGGAACTAAATGGTCTTTAAGGTCCTTTCCAGCCCAAACCATTCTGTGATTCTGACTTTTTCCCAGTAGGCTTCTTCCTGCTTTGTTGCCACAAAGCCTTACAGAGCCAGCCTTGCAGGCTCTCCAAATGCTCGCTTGAGGCTTTTTGGGGTTGTGTGTAGGGGACACAATAGGATAGCACAATAGTTGCGTAAGCTTCATCTGCACTTACTGGTATCCCTGTGTCTCTTTTGCTGTGAAGATTCACCATCGAGGTCGCCTTCCAAGGTGGAAGTGACCGAAAACAAGACAACAGTGCTTTTGGAGACCGGCTGTCCTCACAGGCACTTGCCCAGCGGTAGCCGTAAGTGCTTGGAAATTTGAGGCTCTTACTGAAGATGCTGTGTTCCTTCGTCTGTCTTAGAAAGTGGCAGCCTGAATGTGATTCACTGAACTCATTTACATTTTCTGCTGCAGAGAATGTCCAAGTACCTGAGTGAAGGTTGGGGCAAAAAGCTGGTGGTGGGATGGGGGCAGGCAAGAGACATACATTCCGCTTTGACTATCCAGTCAGGGACTGTGAGTGTTTCCTTGCTCGACAAGAACTTTTCAGGCTATCTGGACCCAAAGAACTTTGGTCACCCTGCTCTCGGGGCTCTGATTTTGTGTGGAAAAGGACATTGCAGCTATTTTGAGAGTTTGCTGTCAAAGCAAGCTCTTGGGAGTCTTTGGAAGTCTTGGTGGAGCAGGGGGTATAGTATAATGATATGCCTGGTGGGAAATGAAACTTTTCAGGTACCTAAAAAAGCCAAGAGCTGTCTGTACAGAGCTTCCTTTGTTTGGTTTATTTGGAGAGGTCTGTAATAAACTCTGTTCCCTACATTCGTATGCATGTAAGTTGCCTATTACAAGCTTCGCAATCAGCAAGAGAACTTTTGCCTCTGCTGAAGGTTGCTGCTCCAAGCATTGGTATTTTTCTTGTGCTCAGGGGATAGCCATATGCCCAATGGCTTGGATCCGGTGGCCGAGACAGCAATCAGGCAGCTAACCGAGACGAATAACAAGACCACCAAGAAGACACCAACAAAACGTAGTACACTGATCATCTCAGGAGTGTCCAAGGTCTCTGGTAGTTAGGAGATGCATTTCTAATCTGGGAGGTTGTTCTTAGGGATGCGTGCGTGAAACTAACCTGTGCTGTTGGCACCGGTGTGGGAAGGTTCCAGCACAGGTGACGGTGCTCATCAGAAGCCCTTTGCTGCTTCCCCATTAGCATTAAAAAATACCTTGCCAGTCTGCAGGGCAGCTGCCGGTGGAGGTCACAATGTGCAGCTGCAGGAAGGGAGCTGGCTGCCCTAGCTTGGTTTGAACCTTGTGGAGAATACAAGGAGTTCTCCTTGAGCTTGGCTCTGGGAGTGAGGGATGTGCAGCAGAATGCTTTGTAATCGGCCATTGTTTCAGCAGAAGAGTTTCTTTTGAACATGTCTTCATGTCTATGTGCTCTTCTAACCCCCCTTCAGGTACCTATTGCTCGAGACGAAATGGCGCTTTCTCTGGGTTATGCTGCATCTCTGGAGGCTACAGTCTGTGGGGACTCTGAGGCAGAGGGCACAGGTGATCGGATGCAYGATTCTCCCGAATTGTCACAGCCACTGGAAGCGTCACCATTGGGACAAAGGGACAGTCAGGAGCTGGATGAGACAACGCGATCAGACATCTCTGAAAGACCATCAGTGGAAGATGTTGAGTCTGAAACTGGCTCCATGGGAGCCCTTGACACCAGGAGCTTGAAAGATCACAAAGGTAAGGATGAACTGTTAGATGGTAGGTAACATGAGCCTGTACAATTATCTGTACATGAGGACAAAGTGAAGCCCAAGTTCCCCACCCAAGCGTGAGGTCTGCAGTCACCTTTCAGCATATCAAAAGAGGGAGTTTATGCAGAGGGTACACGTGACGGAATGTTTAGTGAGGCAGCTTGTTGGCATTGCAGTTGTGAACCGAGACTATGCCTTGCGTTTGGAGGCGGGGATTAGCCGACCCGCTGTGTACTTCTGCCACGCAATGCGGAAGAGGAATGCCGCATATCCGAGAATGTGGCTGGGTGTGTTACTGTTCCTGAAACTCACCAGTGCAGGCTGCTATCATGGTTTCTGTCTCCTTCCTGTCTCTGCAGTTAGCTTTCTTCGGAGCGGTACCAAGCTCATCTTCCGGAGAAGGAGCAAGCAGAAGGAAGCGGGCCTGAGTCAGTCACATGATGACTTGTCTAATGCCACCGCCAGCTCCATCACCAGAAAGAAAACTGGCAGCTTCTCTCACCGCCTCATCAAACGCTTCTCCTTCAAGTCTAAATCCAAACCCAAAGGTTGTGACAGCATATCAGCAGGTGAAAACTGAAGGAGGGAGAAGCCCATCAGATTTCTCAGAGGTTGTTTTCTAGTCTCTTGTCTTCCCACTCCATGGTATCTGTGACTTGCAGTCCAGTTTTTTTCCAACCTTGGCTGAGGGAAGACACCCCAGTGCTTTTTAACATTTGGGGAGTGGAGGTGGCAAAGGTGGGACTTAGGTTGTTTGCCTTGGCTTGGCCTTCTCTGATTGTTGCACCCCACTGTGCTCTCCCAGAACATCCAGGCGGCATGCTTATCGCCCTGGGGGCCCTAGGCACTGCAGAAGTGGCTCCGTCTGTGTAGCCGTCTGGCATCATCAGGTGCCTGACGGAAATGGGGGGCAGGTCTCTGGAGTGGTAACCTTCAGAGTTAAAATCAAGAAATTACTAGGTTAGCTACATTGCCGAGAAGTGTGGGATGTAGCCTCACTCAGCTCTTCTAGTGAGAGAGAATGATGCAGTCACTGGTGATCGAAACGCTATTATTGCTTGTGCTTGGTGCAGAGGCTGTCACCTGAGGTGCTCTGCAGGGTGATGCATTCCTGGGCTGTGAGCTGTCACAGGACAGCTGTCAGAGTTGTGGTCCTCCCCCCGGATCAGCTGCTGGAGCAGTCTGTGGTTCAGACAGCATTGAGGAACCCCTGCTTCCTTGGTGAAGGAAGGAATCTCCAGGAAGAAGGAAGATTTAACCACTGCACGAGTTTTTGTAGAAGCCTGAACCCTCACAAGAACTCCTGGTCAGTGCTGGTGATTCTGCCACGCTGTTACACAGCACTCCTTCCACATCTGTGTTGTTGAACAGGGACTGTACCAAATGCACCAGCTACTGTATGAGCAGTTCCCTTACTCTTGGGAATGGTTGGGATGTTGCCAAAGGGCTGCCAGGCTGTCTTCCAGACCTGCAGAGCGTCGGGTCGCATGCTGTCATGCTTCTTGTGCCAAGGAGTGGCACCATGGTGGGGATGGATGACGAGGAATAAGGCAAGGAATGTAGGGAAGGGCAGTCTGGTTTGCAGCCTGAAGGCACGTGGCAGAAAGAGGGAAGAGTTTACATGTTTTCACCTGTAGTAGAAGGAATGTTTCTGGATTGCATTTGGTATTTCCTTTCTTCTTGCAAACACCCTGWATAAACATAGGGCATTTCTACAGCACGTATTTGCAGAGGGAGAAGTGTGCAGGGTAACATAGAATCTTTGTGCAGGAGGAGACACCAGTTTGACATAGCCTTCTTTTGCCGGATTGGTGCGGTGCTGTCACACGCAGTTCTGTCCCTCTCAGGCACACATTTGCTCTCCAAGTCTCGGAGTCTGGTTCCAGTTTGGCATTCTCTCTAATGCACCATGCCCTCTATGACTCGTAGCTATTGCAGATTTTTTAAAATTCCTTTTAACACCATTTCAAGGTATTAGTCCTTGAAATTTGAAACCAGACGTAACTGTTTCTCTTGTGGGATGCAGTGAAGCCTTACATTAGAAATGCTGGTTTGAGTGGAAGAGCCTACTATCCACATATGGGTTAATCACAGGACCTGCCACGAATCTTATTTGATAGTCCTGTGTTCTTTTCTTTAAACTGTAAGAGCAGCTTGATCTGTCTTGGTGCGGAGTGGCTAGAGGTGAATGCCGAGGATCACCATTGTTCTTCGAAGTCAGGGATCTGAGGCTCATGTACACCAGGAGGGCTGTGAGGGTTAGCCAGTGTTGTCCTTGTCAAGGTAGATGTGAGGCAAGGAAGGCAAGGTTTGTGTCTGACAAACACATACCTAAATTCTTGACTGGCATGCTAAGGTCTGGCTTGGAGGAGAAGGTGATAGGAGAGGGAGTAAAATGTAATCTTGAGTTCCTCACTGGCCTCGGGGACCCTTTCTAGCCATGTTAAATGGGCAATTCCTGTCATGTGTCCATGGCTTTCCTGTTTTGTTCCCGTTCCAGGCTGTGCTTGCCAATGACTTGCAGTGTAGGTACTGGTTTTGATTTTGAACTTTCATGTGGCAGAAGACTCCTGCCCTGTGCTCAGCAGAATGAATGGCATGTGGGAAGCATGCCAATAGGGGCATATCTTCCCTTGAATTTATAGCAGTGTTTTTTACCACAGGCAATAATATGTGCTGCAGATCTGTGTCTGGTTAGACAGCTTGCAGAGGAAAGGGGTGTTGTCAAGTGCTGACGGAGCGCATCCCCAAAAATTAAGTCCTACATCCGCTTGTGTTTTGTACACATTTCCTGATGTTTTGTTGCTTCTCAAAGTTGTACAGCATGGAACTGATAAATGTAACCTTTAATCTTCTCGGCAGACCGTTTTACAGGGTGTTTGGCTAAAGTGCCATTTGAGGAACAGAGGGATAGCAGGGCACGGCCCTGCTGAGTGCGTTGGAAATTTTTTTGATTCTGATGCGCTTCTCATTAATTGTGTCGATCCTTTCTTCTCTTACCTGAACAAGGTGTCCTTTCTGGCCCATGGAGATGTTTTCTTCCCCCAAGCAGCGGGTGCTGGTTTTGTTAGTCCTGAGTATGTGAGCACAGGTGACTCCCCTGGTTTCTCAACGGCATGAATGGTAACAAATCTGCCTCATGGTGGAGGTGTGAGTATTGGTGTGAGAAACAATTCTAATCATCTGAGATGGAAAGGGACGATCACGTAGGGTTTTGTTCTCTAGAAGATGCAAAGATGAAGTCCCTGAGAATTTCCCCCCATTGTATTGGTGCTTTAAGAAACTTCATTTGTATTTAATCCCTGCTTGTGCTTCTGGCTTTAGGACAGAAGAAACGCTGTTTGCAATCTTCTTGCCCTGTGTAACTTCTTTCAGATACCTGTGCCGTCATCTTGGTACTGCTGTGGCCTCTCTGGCATTTCATAGTGCCTGGGACCACAGAGCAACCCCGTGAATGGTGCAGGCCACCGTCAAACTTTTTAAGCTCGAATGATCTGCAGTCGGCAGATTGTTGTCTCAGGGTAGGTTCACTGTTTGCACCTTGTGAAATTGGTCCTTGACCCAATATATGGTGGAAGATGAATAGCAGAGCGGTGGACTCGAATGCTTGGAGGCTTCTGAAGGAGTTCAGCCTGTCTATGAGGGCCTGCCTTCCAAATGCTGTGTCTTGCTACTGGCTGCACAAGCAGGAATGGTGACTTGTAAATGAAGCCAAAGTAGGTAATTTGTTGGGATTGTTTTGGTTTTTTGTTTGTTTTGGTTCGCTTGGAGGGTTTTTTGTTTGTTTGTAGGTTTTGTGGGTTGTTGGGGGTTTTTTGTTTTATTTGTTTGTTTGGCTCTTTTGGCTGACCGCATTTTCTAGAATTTACCTATGCTGTGTATTTTTGCTTATGCGAAGGAAATAGATTTATGATAGCTGTAAGTGTATTTCTGTCTGGATACATTCTTTTCCTATGTTTTGGCAAGCTTTTTAAGAGTCTGGTCATCAAAAACCCTCGGTGTTGGTCCATGAAAGATACCCGCTTGAGTGGGTGAAMAGTGGATGCAGAAAAATATTAAAGAAACCTTAAAACCTCCATGTTCTGAGGGTGCCATAGGATTTAGCATGGTGGATCTGTGATGCAAGAGGGATTGGGTGCACAGATGTGTATTTGCACCTGYTTGTAATTGTCACTCTGCAACTGCCTATACCGGTAACGGTGCAAAGTGACTGAGCATGACAGTGCCGATAGGTGGGACAGGAGAGTGGCCCTACCAGCTTCTGTGGCACTCATATCCATTTCTTGCACAGACCTCTGCAGTGCCAGACATGAGCAAGCAAGTCCAGCTCCTGCCCCTGCAAGCACCCTCATGCTGCTAATGTAGTTGAGGGTGGTTTTAGGCAGCTTGACTGAAACGGGGAAGAGCGAGGGAAGGCTGCTCGGATGGAGAGGATGTTCAGTGGAGGGGAATGTACTGAAAACTTCCTCAAACTGATTTAAGAGCACCACAGTCACGTGCCGTTTCCAGACTGGGACTGGGTGCATGGCAAATGTTTTGTTACCTTTTTTTGCTTTAGCAATGCAATAGTTCTTTTGGGTCATTCTTTACTAAATCTACAGAGAAATCATTGCTGGGTAGCTGTGGAGACAGTGGAATGTTGGGAGGGCTGTCATTTGTGTGGGGTTTCGTCTTTTTATATTGTTCTCTCCACCCCACGTCCCCTACTGCAAGGTCACCGGTGAGTGTCGTGGTGGAGGAACGTCCCAGTGGTGGTCAAACGTATGGCAAAGGTGTACTTGTGATATTGCAGCTCCTACAGGCACGACTGCTTCGCATCACCCCTTTCCTTGCTAGTAAAATATCGGACCAAATACCCACACGGAATTTGATTTAGTGCCCCTCCTTTTGTGTGCTCTTTTGTGCTGTGATGCTTTCTGTCTGGGTGGATTATTTTCACCCCATATTGTTTAGGCAGGATAAATTTGGAACTGTGTAGCTAATAATGAAAATAAAACTACTTCTTGCACCTTTGTAAATCTTGAAGAAGAATTCTATTGCTGTGTAATTGCTGATTCTTAACTTATTAAACCACATGAGAATCAAAACCTGAGTCCGACTTCATACCTGGTGTAGTGCTGTGGCTTTTCCTCCAACCTGTCCCTGTATCCCATAAATTCTTGTACTTAAATGATGGCAAACTGTGTATACCCAAGCAAGGGTTTATAATGCACTGAAACATTTAAATGTGAGGGGGTAAACCGAGGCTCTTTCACTCTGGGTTAGCACATAGGAAAAATACCAGCAGTGGAGGAGAAGCTGAGCAGGGTATCAGAGAGGTTATTTGGGTCCTCCCAAAAAGAGGAGGTTACAGCCCAGAAATGCTTGGATGTTAAGGGGATGTGTTTGTGCAAAAAGTACTAAAAGGTTTTCTTTCTAATCTTTACTCTATAAATTACTAAGAGTAGTAAAAAAAGAAAAAAATTAAAATATATTTCAGAATACATTCCTGTATCACCTTTTTTTTTAATACTGGATTTTTGAGTATGAGAAATTCTAAATATATACCTTTTAAATATGGAAATACAACTTTTGTATATACAAATTAAACAAYGGCTTGAACATGGAAGAAGATTTGTAGTAGCTGTAAACCGTAAGCGTCCTTGTAAGTGTTCTGTACCCTGCTTATGCAAAGCTCCTGCAGAAATGTCCCTGGCTTCCCTGCCAGAGCCACCTCCTCGGGGAGACCAGGTGGCAGACTGGCGTCAGCACAGGACCCGAGGCTGCTGCAGCGGCCCCGGTGCCAGGTGTAAAGCAAAGCCCTCTGTGGCACGGCAAGCACATAATGTTTGTAGTCTAAAAAGTGGTAGCGAACAGAACGGGGGGGCAAAAGGTGCTGCAGGGCACAGAACATCGCACCGAGAAAATGCTGAAGGAAAAGCTCTCGTGCCAAGGGACAGCACCTGAGAAAGCAGGTCAGCGTGCGGGGTCCCAGGGGGAAATTGCCTCTTTCATCTCATTAGTCCCTCCCCAGGGCCCCCAGTCCCTGCACAATGCCCTCAGAAAAGAGAAGGGTTATTAAGAGGAAAAGAGTTTAAACTGAGAGTAGAAACTTCCCTTACCATTATTGTCTGGGTCCAAATTGAGCGGGAACACCTTTTCCCTGTGATTGTAATGATGGCACTTGAAGGCAACCCTGCCTTTCCCATGCATTAGGGGTATAAAGCAGATTTGGGGGTGAGAGCGGCTGTGGGGACTGGTGTCTGGGTAATCTTTATCAGTTTCTATGGGTCAGAAACACCTCTGCCTTTCAGAAGGCACTGCAGCTTATCTTTGTGTATGAGTCCCTGGAATTTGACGATTTCTCTAATAAACCTTGGCCACCTACACGGAGGTCTCCCAGTCCCGTGCCAGACCAAGCCTGGCACCTGCAGCTAGGTGCTGGCTGCCGAGGCTCTTAGCAGCCWCACCTCTGGATGAGGAGCAGTGCAGCCAAGTGAGATGCAGTTACAACCGTTGCCCTGGTCTAATCTGTGCACAC